AACTACAAACAGAATTGCAAGATACAGAACTAAAACTACGCTGCCTTGACTGACTTAGTGCAGTAGACAACTCAATTGCACTAAACTTGTACAAACCATTATATCCCAGTATCCCTTCCAAAATAATTTCATAAGAGGCCTGTGATTTAACATAGCAAGTAAGTGGATGAAATTCAAAGTAAATGTCATTGTCTTTTGCAAACTGATTGACACTAACCAAATTTTTTGTTATAGAAGGAACAAGAAGTAAATTTCTCCAGTTTTTGAAGGGTAGCCTGAGAGTTTAGACCTTGTAGCAAGGTTTATTGTTGTAATCAGAATATAATTGTCGCGCCTAAGGGCTTGCTAGTAGAGGAAGTGATGGCTGAGGTTCACAAGGGCTAGTTCACTATACATCCAGATGCTACAAAGATGTACCAGAACCTGAAGAGAAATTTCTGGTGGCCTGGTATGAAGAAAGATATTGCCAAATTTGTTTCCCGGTGTCTTATTTGTCGAAAGGTAATGATTGAACATCAAAAGTCTTCTGGTATGCTCCAATCTCTTGATATTCAGGAATGAAAATGGGAGAGTATCTCTATGGTTTTCGTAGTGGGGTTTGCCATTGATTCAGACTGGTTATGATTCCATATGTGTGATTGTGAACAAGTTGACAAAGTTCGCCCTTTTATGCCAATGAGAGTAGACTTCTTTGCTGACAAGTTAGCTCGGCTCTATGTGAAGGAGATTATGAGGTTTCATGGGATTCTTAGGAGCATTGTTAGTAATCGAAATTCAAAGTTCACTTCTCGCTTCTGGGGAGCATTGCAAGTGGCTTTCGACAGTCAATTGAGACTGAGTAGTGCCTATCATTCGCAGACGAATGGTCAGATTGAGAGGACCCTTCAGATGTTGGAGGATATTTTGAAAGCTATTACGATCACATGCATCGACCTCTTGAGTTTAGTGAAGGGTGACATGTTTTTGTGAGACGGTCGCCTGTGACTGGTGTGCGGCAAGCTCTTGGGGTAAGGAAACTAATTCTTAGATTCATAGGACCCTACAAGATAATCCACAGGGCAGGACCGGTTTCCTATCAACTTGCTTTACCTCCGCAATTGGCGAATCTGAATGATGTGTTCCACATTTCTCAGCTTCGAAAGTATATTCGAGATGAATCACATGTTGTGCAGCCCGATGATATTCTAATACGGGAGAATCTGAAGATTCTTGTGGGGCCATTGAAAATTCTTGACAGAGATGTGAAACGGATGAGGAATAAATCGATTCTGATGGTAAAGGTTCATTAGGAAGGCAGAAAGCCTGAAGAGTCCACTAAGGAGCGGGAAGATGAGCTTCTCCGGCAGTATCCTGAGTTCAGGGACATGTATGTTCCTAATTTTGCGGTCAAAATTCTAAAAAGGTGAGGGCGTAAATATAATAACCCTAACCTGTAAATTATGGACATTGCATGTGATTAAATTTTTATTCATCCATAATGACAATTAATTAGGTTAAATGTCTAATTAAATGAATTAAAGTCACATTTGGGCAAAAAGTGCAATAAGTAAGAGTTTTGGGGTAAAACGGTAATTAAGCAAAATATACTCGAAACTGTAAAATAATGTTGTGAGACATTTTTAAATGACATTTGGTTAAGTTGGAAATCACATTAGATGATTTAAACCATGTCTTGAGATTAAAATTTAAGAAAGGACATAGGAGGTAGAGGTGGCAAAGCGGGTGTCCTGCCCCGCCGATAACCCGTCAAAAAATGAGCTAGCCCGCCCACCACTTTTGGCGGGCGGGGTGGGTTGGCCCACTAATCAGAACCTATTTTACACTAACCCACCCAGCCTCGTTTGGAAAGCAGGGCAGGTCATCCCGCCGAGCCGAGCCCATTTTGTCTGCCCTAATAGGAGGCATTAGACAAGTCGTTGCTCATTTTTCGGATGTCTAGTTTGAGGCGGTTAGCTTGCAACGGACATATCTTGAGCTATATAGTTCCAATAGAGGTTTATAATATGCCATTGGAAAGCCCAAGATGCCTAGCTTAATATATTAAAAGATTGGAATTAATGATTAAGTGAATTAGTCCCAGTTTTAGAAAACGCAAAGGTTGTTCCGTGTCAGAAATGAAAACAAAGAATTTTTCACCATATTGTTTATAAGAACTTCATGGTAGTATCCTATAAGTAGTCTATGATGTATTGAAGCAATGTTTTATTATTTCGCATTACGTTTCAGTTATAATTATAATTTCGATTTGATTTAAATACGAAAAGTATTTTAAACAGAAAATGTTCAATGTTTAAAAAGAAAAAATTTAGCCGTATTTTAATTCAACCAATGTGATTGTAACTGCACTTAATATCATACATGATATTGATAATAACATATCGGTCATGAACAAAGCGTCACGTAAACTACATTGCCATAGTGAATACATGTAGTTAGAAAGCATAAGGTTGCTTTGTGTTATTGGAGGCACAATTACATCAGTATCAAGTTGACTAGTAGGTAAAGAAACATAAGAGGAACTACAAACATAATTGCAAGATGTAGAACTAAAACTATGCTGCCTTGACTGATAGACAACTCAATTGCACTAAACTTGTACAAACCATCATAGTCCAGTATCCCTTCCAAAAGAACTTTATGAGAGGCCTGTGATTTAACATAGCAAGTATCTTTGGGTTTAACGAAGCCACTCTGTGTACTCTGGATTTAAGATCTAGTCCAGATGATTTTGCTCAGGTTCAAACAAAAGCGGTATCTTTGGGTTCACCAAAAATGGATGCAACTAATGTGAGGTTATAACTGGATCCACAATCTGATTCCACAAAAGATAGTTTCTTTCTATTAACTTGACAGAGATTTGGTGATTGAATAGCAAAGGACTATGTTTCTTGGTCATTGACGCAGATCCTTTGTTTGCTTGTGATGATTCGGTCGAAGTGGTTTGTGATCGTGATGTGGAAGCCATTGTTGGTTAGTGATTTGTATCAGGCCCTTCAGAAGGGTATACCATCAAGAAGACGAAGGAAAATGAAAGAAAAGTAAAGTAAGAGAGAGAAGAAAATGAGAGATAGAAAGTATTTCTGAAATATCTTTTATATTCAATGAATCGTACTTATAACTTATAACAGTAACTATATTAATAGAGTTCTCAGCTATGACTTAGTAACAAATTAGTCAACCACTTACAACAAAACACTTGGTTAATAAATAGGTGTACTAATCTAAGGTAAACAGATGTACATATTGGACGTCTGAAAATACTAATATACCCCTAAATTTAACAATGATAATAAAAATTAGTGAAAAAGATGCCAATATTTTTATATCAAAAGTCGAGCATAACGGATGGCTAAATTTTTTTTGGGACAAAATAGGAAATTAAAAACAAAAACAAAAGAAAACTAAGCACATAGCCTAGACCAGTGGACACCAATGGTGTCATTATACAGACTCTCTAGACATCCTGGAGGAGGTTCATTGAAGACTTGAATTGCCCAGGAAAAATTGTAAGAGTACGAGGCTAGAAAGTCAGCCACTCCATTTCCTTCGCAATGAATATGGGAAATATGGACCTGCCAACATCTTTGTAACATGCTCTTAATTCGCTACACCAAAATAGCAGCAGGATGATCATTCTGACACCCATTCTATATAAGTTGTTGGGCTGAGAGGGAATCATCCTCCAACCACACTCTTCTAGATCCCTTGTCCCAAGCAAGATTCAATCCTTCCAAACAAGCCCATAATTCTACATGCAAGATAGTACTCGGACCTCAATTTTTACAAAAGTCAGTAACCCAAGCTCCTGATAGGTCTCGAATAACACCTCCACATCCAGACTTAAGTCTGTTTCCAGCTTGAGCTCCATTTACATTAAGCTTGACCCAATCAGTTGGAGGGCATGACCAAGCGATCATCTTGTCTACTTTAACCCTCGGCTAAATTAAGGTGCAAGATGTAATGAATAAAATATCTCCAAATGATTCTTGCCAAAACAAAGCACAAAGAATTTATGAAAATTGTTATATATGATATGATTAATTAAATGATATAAGATTTTCCAAGAAAATTTTATTTGGAAATAGATTAAAATCTTAACTTTTTAATAAAAGCTTCAAATTGAATTAAATATGATTAAATCTATTCAATATTTTTATCATTTCAAATGCAATATATATCTCTTTTTTTAAGGTTTATAGAAAGGCAACACTCAACAGTAGCTTGATAAGTATAAAAAATTTGGAACAGTGCCCTTTGTGCCACTCTTAGAAGACAAATTTACCTAAATGTCACGCCAAAAAACAATTTTACCAAACTGCCACGAGGGCAAGTTCGCCCAGAGCAGTAGCGAACTTGATATGTTGATGTGTCAGCTTCCTGGTGGTGTCAGAGTTCGCTTATGACACAGGCGACCTCAATTGAAATTAATGCCTCACTTGCCAGGCCACGTGGTTTGCATGCAGCAGAGGTCGCCTGTGTCAGAAGCACTCTGACACCACCAGAAAGCTGACACATCAGCATACCAAATTCGCTACTGCTCTGGGCGAACTTGCCCTCGTGGCAGTTTGATAAAATTATTTTTTGACGTGGCATTTAAGTAAATTTGTCTTGGAAAAGTTACAAAAAAATTTAAACTTTTGGTAGAAAGCCAAATTATCACCTGAACCATTGGTGAAGTGACGTGTAAAAGTTGTTTATGAAAAAACATGTCCAATTGTGCTACTGAAAAATTTATACATCAATTTTTTTAATAAATTTAAATTGAAAACTGATCCTGAATTTTTCACTCTAGTTTTTATCTCATACCAAACTAATCAGATCGAAAGGTGGCTAACACCTTGGTTCAATTTTAATCAGACGAAAAATATCTACCTCGAATTGGTTCACGTTAGAAAATTAATGCATTGCAACCTCATTGAATATTTGCATACCTGACCAAGTGAAACAGCTTCATCAAAATTTGGTGAAAAGGAAAATATCTCAAGCAACAAGGAACTAAACATTTTAAGAAAAAAGGATCAAGATGTGCCAATAAATGATAAGCCAATTTCCTATTTACAACTAGATACCTTCAGAATTAAGTGGAAAACTACGACATGCACAGGTTCACCATTCAAAATCCACAAAAAAAGAATAAAGAAACTACGAATCTTCTTATGCACCCTTGCCTATCATTGTCCCCCACCATCATTGCTGCAGTATAACCACTGGACTTGGATCATGGCCATTGATATTAATCCACCACCGACACATATTTCTTGACTAAGCTCCATCTTGCTACATAATTAGGAGGTCTTAAGTAACAAAAAAACCTGTGACAGTGGATCACAACTTGAAAGCCACTCTTAACAATTAGCTACTGCTTCTTTATAAACACGCAAGCTAAAATATGAAGATGAAGTAAAATACCTCACAGAGCTTTTTTGTACTCGGAGGCATAATAATAATGAATACAATATGCTGACAGATGTCAAAGGCATGGAACTAGTCTCCTATCCCTACAACAAAGCAGCTAAGATTTACATAGCTCCAATGGCAGCACAGTAAACAAAGAGACTCTTAATTAGTGGAGAGTTCTAGTGAACGTGGATGTATTATAGTACAGAGTGCTATTCAATATATGCCCTGGTGAAAAATTAATGGGGCAAAACTATATTGGATTATATTAAGCTTTCTATCGTTCAATCATCTTCAAACAACAAAGTGCAGTTGAATTCATCATCATGTCTTGGTCTTAAATTTTCTTTGAGGTTTCAAATCAACCACAATAACAGTGATGTTATCTTTGCTTCCTTTCTGGAGAGCACGGTTTGCTAGGAACTCTGCTGCTGCTTGTGAAGCAGGATCAATACCCTCTCCTCTTTCTGAGGGTAGTTCCATGCCATTTTTCTTGTGCCAGAGAAGTATTCGTCTCCGAGCTAGGTCACACACCTCTTCGTTCGTCATTACATCCCACAGACCATCACTGGCCAGAATGAGACATTCATCATCTTTCGCACGAGCAAGAAACGTAACTTCTGGTTCTGGAATAATCCATGGCTTCAAATATCTATCACCTGAAAAGTCACAACAAGGGTAAGCAGAAACATTTCAGCTGAATAGACAACTGCATAATTATTGCAGGTTTCCCAGTTGGACAGACACGCAAGCTGATAATCATCATTTTGCATGCGAAAAAATAACATTGCAGAACAAACAAAAAGATGCCAATTTTGTGCATTATCCATTCAAATCAAAGAATTAAACACGAGGATTTAGAGTTTTGGTCCGGTAAAGATTTCCAAATTTCGATAGTGCCCTACTGTTACAAATTACAAGCAATAGGTGCTGAAATCACTAGCACAAAGAAAAAGACAAGGACACGAACAGAAATCAAATGTCCATAAGGCCCTCAACATCATGTAAAGTTTCCATAATCAGAAATGTTCAAAATAAAATAAATAATAATAAACAGTCATTAGAAAGAACAATAAGATAGCTACTGTAAGCCAATCAGATGTTCTATATTATTTTTATTAGAAATAGAGAACAAGTTTTTTACTTATAATGAAGTCCCAGTTTAACACCGAAAGGTGCACAATGAAAAGAAGAGGATGAAAGGAGGTACTAGGGCTACTACTTCAAAATTTCCTCTAGCAGACTTTGGTTTGAGAAATATCAAAACCAAATTGCCTATACTGAAATATTTAACAAGCAAAATAATCATAATGTCTTGCCATACATAGACTTGCTTTGTTATTGCAACTATACTAATATATAAGCAATTAGGTCAATTGGACATTAAGTGCAAATTATTCATTGTACCCCAACAAAACCTAACAAAAACAGTATTTATTCTGAAAACCAAAAAATAACATAGATGCGCTAATAGCTCCAACATTTATAGTTTATGTTCCACAGGGTACATCTTCCATAAGTATTGCAGACTGGCTGCAAAGGGCTATGTAGGGTATATTTACATGTTTTGGAGAGAACGGGATGGAATGGGGAAAATTTTCTTCCCCGTGCTTGGATGATTAATGAAGGAATAAAGGGAAAGATAATCCATTATAAGTATAGAATTTCAATATAATCCTTCTGAACTTCTAAGTAGCCCAATTTATGAGGTAAAATCATAAATGACATATTTTAAAATAAAAGCAAAGATATTCCCTCTCATTATTCCAATTCAGAGGGGAACAAAAGTGATAAATTTTTCAATTTAATCTCCCAAATAGGGGAATTATTCTCTTTCAATCCTTCCCCTTTCATCCACTTCACTACCCCTCATCCAAACAAATTCTTAAGTGATTTATAAGGAAAAATTTATAGTCCTGCTATAATACTGAAAAAGCAAGTGCTCTTTCTACCATTCATTTTTTGATAAGCATGTAACTATCTCCTAAATATCAGCATCCAACTCACCCAAGTTTTAAAAATAGCTTACTCGTCAAAAAATGAATGGAAACTCACCATTTCAGTATTATTGTTTGACTGGACATTTATACATTTCAAGTAAATCAAATCCATTAGAAATTAGAGTAAATACAAAGAGAATGCAACTAGCATCTACTTTTTTCATTTGTAAACTAAGATAATAAATACAAATGTATTGAGAAAAGGAAGCCCTTGTATCAGTGACCCTCACTAAAAGACTTCCACGAAACTCAAGATAGTACACAAGAGAAACACCCCAAATAAAGTAAAATCTGTGATTAAGAAGTACATACCAATGGACCTTGACATTGCAAGAACACCAAATACTCGATGGCCATTCCATTGTATCACCTTTCCTCCAGCTGCCTCAATTCTTGCATATTCATCATCTCGGTTTGGCTAAATATCACAGCCACAAATCACCAGTTAAAAATTTAACATTTTAAAGGAGATGCAAAACTATAGCTAGAACTCTAGAAGCAACTTACTTTATGGTCCACTGATAATGCCATGGGTTCTTTGCCGCGACATAGAACCGCTCTTGAATCACCGCAATTTGCAACTATAATATGAGATGAACAGATAACAGCAACAACAGCAGTGGAGCCTACAGTTTCTGGGGCAACAGGTTCATTATTAATTTTTCCTCCAACTTCAGCATCAACCTTTAAGAAACAATTGGTGAAAGCTTTTTTCCACTGATCTTGACAACCATCATTGATACTTCGACTAATTAGACCTTCCTTGACAAGTTCTATTTCCTCAGCCAAGGCCAAATGGATACGATCACGACAATACTTTGCCACCTGAATGAGGAAAGCAAGCTCTTCGTGAAGGGTTACATAGAGAAGGCTAAAGTCACTGGACACAAGAATCTTGTTAAGAATGAACAAATTAAACTTTACCTGAGAGCCACCGTGGCCATCATAGACTCCAAAGAAATGAGTTGTCTGCTGACTAAAACACTTTTTTATTCCATCAACTGCCCGATCACCAATTAGCATTTCAATAGGAATTTTCATAAATCGAGGGACAGTTGCAACAGCATCTTCCATCTCTGGTCTTCTTCCACACATAGATATGAATCCCCAAAGTGGGGCATAATCCAATTCGAAAACACTCCGAGCAAGTGTTCCACTCACCCCTTTTTCCTGAGGCAGCTGTTGAAGAACTGCCGTAGAAGGATTTAGGCCAGATCCAACTCCAGTCTCTTCTTCAAGGCTCACTGCCACAGCAAGGGGCTCACTCATAGTATCTGTGTCAACATTTGACTCCCCCAAATCAGCAGCCTGGGCAACAATATTCACAGCACAGATGCTCTTCTCTATGTCTATGGAACTCAGTGTCCCAACATCTGAAGTAGCATCAAAACTGATGAACTCCTCTCCATATACACTACTGTTCTCACTGACTGCTGAATGAGAACACGAGCTATCAATAATCTGATCACCTTCCAATGACAATGAATCATCCTCATCAATTTCTTGGGTTAAAACTTCATCACCAGGAACCAAAGTGCTTCTATTTTGGGATATCATATCCGACAAAGGACTTTCTCCTTCCATATCCTGTTTTGGTGGTGTAACTTCTGTAATACCAACTTCATCCTCCAAATTGGCACCACTATGACTATCATCAGAACCTGCAACCGTCTCAGTAGAAATCTCAGTGACAGAATTAGATAACAACCCTGCATCTGCCATCAGCTTAAATCTGGATACCTCCATGTGGGTAGCTACGGTTGGGTTATCACAGACTGAATTACCTACTCTTAATGGCACTGCAACCGCGAACGACATCTCCTCCATTGAAAATCCCTATCTAGGTAGGACAAAAAGTTACCCTCCCATCCCTCAGGTATCACAAAACTTGTCATACTTCAACTAATTGATCACCTGCTTTTCTGATTGAAAAGGATCTTGGAATGTGAAGTGTGGCATTTTCCATTCCTAAGTAGCCCTATAAGAAAGAGAATAGGCAAATTCAGGCGATGCAAGGCATGAACTAGCTAAAAAGTTGTGAAAGTGAAATGGGGTAGTCAGATCTGGTCAACAACAACGGATCCAGACTTCCAATTCTGGAAATTTTAACCATACAATAGCTATGCCACACCCTTTTCAAACATTACCAATTTCTTCTCTGAACTCTCCTCTATCTAACTTTGTCAACTCTAGTGAGAGGGAAAAAGCCTGAAAAACATTATTAAAAATAATAAAAAGACAAACTTTATCAGCACAAAATCAGATTGCGCTCAAAAATATTAAAAAGGAGACAAATTGAAAAAAAAAAAAAACACCCCTTATCTCTAAACACAAGAAAGAGAAAGAGGTCATGAGAAAGAAACCCAGAAAAGGTAAAGTCTCAAGAATCACATGGAAACCCTAAAAAGATGACACACTTTTTTTCACATACCACCATGAGTTGCCTGGATCTGAGGCAACGCATCACAGGCGCGCGCTCTCTCTAGTAATGATTACTACAAAATCAATGAATGAAAGAAGGCATAAGAAGGAAGTGAAAAAAAAAAAGAAAAAAAAGTGCCACTACCTAATTTTGTCAACTATGTAGGGTCTGGTTCCTTCCCTTCCTTTCTCACTCTCTTTTCTCTCTCCTATTTCTTCTTACTTTGACACCTGAAACCCATGGATTGGAAAAAAAGGAACAAAGCATCATTAACAACAAAAAAACAAGACAAGGGTGTTTTTTTATTTTTTTTCCTTTCTCAATCTTGACCCATAAAACAATAACAGCTCAGCTATGTTCTTTTCTTCGATAATATTCTTTTTTATATATATCATATATGTGTGTGTGTGCATACCTGGGTGTGGTGTGGGTTGGTGTTGAGAATTGGAAGTTGAAGAATGGGAGGGTAGAAGAAAGAGAGAAAAAAATGACCCCAAAATTGTTTATTAAAAAAAAAATGAATAAAAAATGAAAATTTTATAGGTAGGAAAATGCTTTGAAAAGGAAAAGGGACAATAAAAAAGAGTGTGGTTGGGTTGGGTGAGTGTAGTGAGAGAGTGGACACATGTCAAATCCTAAAGAGCATATTAAAGCATCTCCACACATCCATCCATGATCCATCCATTCATCAAAGTGCATGCTGCCTTGGCTTTTCATCCTCCAATCCATGTTTTCATGTCCTGTGGCTTTAAAGGTTTCATGCATCATGCTGCTCTGTAACTGTGCCTTTCTTTCTCTCACACTCACTCTCTATTTTTTTATTTTTTTATTTTTTTGTCATTATTTACTGCTGCACCAGTTCTTATCTCAGCTGGGACTGGGGTGTCAATATGGGTTTTGACACGCGGGTCGACCCGCGACACGACACGAAAATTCGTGTTTGGGTTGACCCGTAAAAAAATTCGTGTCGTGTTCGTGTTGGAAAAAATGACACGCAAAAAATTCGTGTCGTGTTCGTGTTTATGAATTCGTGTTCGTGTCGACCCGTATTATTTTTAATTATTATTTTTTTATTTTTTTATTATTATTTTTTAATTTTTTCTTTATTTTCGATCTATTCTTTAAATATTTTTTGTCAATTACCATTGTGTCTCCTATTTTGCGTGTTATTCGTGTCGTGTCGTGTCAACCCGCAAAAAATTCGTGTCGTGTCAGTGTTGAAGATTTTGACACGAATGAAAATTCGTGTCGTGTTCGTGTTGATGTATTCGTGTCGTGTCGAATTCGTGTCGTGTCGAATTCGTGTCGTGTCAACCCATATTGACACCCCTAGCTGCGACTCTCTCAGGGGACAATGTGGACCTCAACAATAGTAATTAAATTAAATTATTATCCATTTCTTTTTAATTTTATTACTGAGTAATTTTGCTCTTGTTTGATGGATTTTTGAAATCAGGTAAAGAAAGAAGGGGGCTAAACTATATTTTTTATGTGTTTTCTTAAGGGGGAAATGTTTGTTATTTTTAAAAAACAGTTTTATATTATTTTAAGTTAATTACTGTAGAAAAGAGAAGTTAAAATACAAATATTTTAACAGAGTAATTTCACTTATGACACAAAGTTGTATCAATTAAAATACAAATATTTTGTACCAAAAAAAAAATACAAATATTTTCCCCTTTTTAAAATATTGGAATCTTTAAATATAATATTAATCTAATACATTAAATCTCGTATATTTCATTGTCACATGTCATTTTTATATATATTTGAAGAAAATTAGTTATGTGTAGCATTTTCGTTCGGGGAGGCACGAAAGGGTGTGAAAATCATTTTATTAATATTATATTTGAAGATTCTGTTATTTTTATAAAAAAAAAAAAATTAAAATCATCAAAAAAAAAGGTGCAAAAGCAGGGTTTTTCAAATAAAATTAAATGGAATTTCTTTACTCAAATGAAAATTCCATCAAGGTTGACTTTGCACACGTTAACCCTAGGATTTAGACCAGAGATACCAAATTTACACAGAATTTTCAAGAACAGATTCTATCAAATCGAGATAAATGAATAATTATAATTAAATTATGTAAAATTTGAAAGAAAAAAAAATGCATATATATCATTCTTTGAATTGTCACAATTAGGTCCAAACTAGTGTTAATATCATTATTTTCGAGATCTTTACGATCCTCTTGTAATATAACTTAAAATGATGAAAATTGAAATAAAATCAGAAGGAAACATAATCATAAAGGATGAATCCCCTTGATATAAAGAAAAATATATATACACACAAAACTCTACCATGGATTAAAACCATAAAACCCGAATTAAAGCAACAATTTTATGAAAAAAATTATAAAATAACATATAATCAATGTAACCAAATACTATAAAATCCTAGGTGTCATCTATCATAAAGCAAATAAAATTAAAAAGAAAACAAAATACAAACCTTTCAAACCGTGCTCTTCAAAACCGAAGCAATAATTTGATAGGGGAGATTTGAAACCTCAAAAAAATTGAATCATCTTTAAACCACCAAGTGTATTTAAAGAAATCACCATGATTTGGTGTACATTTTCTTTCAGGTTTGAAATCTCCCACTGTCACATTATTGTTATTCGTAGTAATCACAATTTGATAGAAAGCTTGATATAATCCAATATAGTTTTGCCCATTAACTTTTCACTAAGGAATTCTTGATTCAACGTGAAGAGCATATTTAATAAAAACAAGATTGGGAATGAACTTATGAACAAAGGAAAGCTCACTTGGTTTCTTGGGAGACGGTCTGTTTGCCGAAGAATGTAGGGAGACTTGGTTTCCGTAAAATTAAAGAGAATAATATGGTTTTTATCATGAAGCTAGGTCACCGTATCATGACTGATCGTAATTCGTTATGGGTTCGGGTCCTTCGTAGCAAGTATAAGGTGGAGGAGAGGCTCATTCCAAGTATCTCGGCTTCAACAAATGATTCTAGTTTATGGAAGGCTATTGTTAAGTATTGGCCTCAGATTCTAGAGAATTCTCGTATCATTTTAAGGGATGGGGTTGTTACGTCCTTTTGGATGGATTCGTGGGTGCCAGGATGTCCTCAACTTGTTTCTCTGGCCGTTCAACCTATTCCTCCTATTATGACTCATTGGTCTACGTCTCAATTTGTAACTTGTTATGGTAATTGGGACTGGCATTTATTCGAGCACCTTCTTCCTACTTCAGTATTAGACAAGATTCGTAGTGTGCTCCCTCCTACAGTGGATCCTTCTCCGGACCGTGTTATTTGGGCAGGTTGCCAAGATGGGGTTTTTTTTAGTAAAATCAGCTTATAACTATCTCATGGGTACCTCGCATTATCATCAGGATAGGATTTGGAAGGTTATTTGGGCTTGGCCTGGTCCTGAACGTATTAGACAATTCTTATCGCTTCTCTACAGAGGTTCTCTTTTAACTAATGTTCATAGAGTGCATTGTCACATGGCTACAGATGCAGCGTGTCTGAGATGTCATTATAATCTTGAGGATAGTTTACATGCCATTAGAGATTGTCCTGGTGCCAGGGAATTATGGGAGCATTGGGTTCCTTCTGATAACCGTACTGACTTTTTCTCCATGGATCTTCACCTATGGATTCAGACAAATCTAGCAGGAAGAATTACACTTTCGAAAGCTGTTCTCTCAGCTATTCTAGCCTACACAATGCAAGTTTCTGTTGTTCCTCTCGGAATCTGCAATGATATTGAGAAACATATTAGGAGGTTTTGTGGGGTTCTAATAGAGCATCTACTCGTCCTCATCTGGTTGCGTGGGATCAGTTGTGCATGGATAAAGATCATGGAGGGCTGGGTCTGAGGAAAATGAAGGAAGTTAACAGGGCTTTTATTATGAAAATTGGTTATGGGATCCTTTCTAATCCAGACGCGCTTTGGGCTAGAGTTTTAAAGAGCAAGTATAAAGTTCAGTCTGATTTGGTTCCTAATATTTCTGCTACTCGGAATAGCTCCTCTCTTTGGAAAGCAATTGTTTCGTCTTGGCTTGTGATATTACAGCATTCCAGAATTTTGCTAGGTAATGGAAATTCTACTCAATTTTGGGATGACCCGTGGGTTCCGGGTTGTGGTGCACTCTCATCCTATGCTGCTATTTCTGATCCCTCTCAGATAAATCATCAGCTAATGGTCTCTGATCTTGTCTCATCCTCCGGAAGTTGGATGTGGGGGGCTTTCCAGCATAGTCTTCCCGATCACGTCAATGCTCGTATTAATAACATCCTTCCTCCTTCGGATGTTAATGGTCATGACCGAATTTTGTGGACAAGGACATCTGATGGGAGTTTTTCGCTGAAGTCCGCTTATATGGCCATATCCAGGGGTAACGAGGAATCTACCAATTTACCTTGGAATCGCGTTTGGCAGTGGCATGGACCTGAACGGATTCGTACGTTCCTTTGGCTGTTGTTAGGAGATAAAATTTTGACAAATGAAAGGCGCTGCAGACGGCACATGGCGGGTTCAGATATATGTCATCTGTGCAATTGTTTTACGGAAACTTCCTTACATGCGGTTAGAGATTGTATTGCAGCAAAAAAAGTGTGGGAGATTGCAGTTAAGCGAGAGGCTTGGGAGGATTTTTTTCTCTCTTAATCTTCAGCAATGGGTGTTGTCCAATATCTCTGAGGATCGTAATTGGTCCAATTTGCCATCATGGCCTCTTCTGTTTGGTATCATTTCCTGTTTCATTTGGCAAGCTAGGAATAAGAAAATTTTTCAGGGATCTTCTGTTCCTGCTTATGGCACTTTTAGAGCTGCTATGGTCTATGGTGAAGATTTTTCTTGGTCAGAAAACACGCTTCGGGTTGCTGGTCTTGAGACTAACTCGAATAAAGAGAAATTAGTTTCTTGGGTTTTTCCTTCGGACCCTTGGGTTAAGCTCAATGTGGATGGGTCAAGTATGAATAATGGAGAAGATTCTGCTTGTGGGGGTGTATTTAGGAATGCTAGTGGAAGGTGGCTTGTTGGCTTTTGTAAAAATCTTGGCTGTGGTAATGTTTTGTTAGCAGAACTTTGGGGTTGTCTCCTTGGGCTTGAGATTGCATGGAGGAAAGGTTTCCGTTTTGTCTGGCTTGAAGGTGATTCCTTAGTAGCCCAGTTTTTCATAAGAGAAGGGTGCAGCTCTCATCATCCAGCCTCTAACTTGGTCTTGCGCATAAGGAATATGCTGGATTGGAATTGGAGGGTTAGAATTTCCCATATTCATAGGGAAGGGAATGGGGTTGCCGATTGGATGGCCTCTTTTGCCTACTCCTTTGATTGGTCTTTACAAGAGTTTGACTCGCCTCCTTCTGGTTGTCGTGACAAACTTGAAAGGGACTATGTAGG